TTTCTGGAAAGATGTATTCTTGCAGTTGCTAATTTGTATTTCCTTAAACTAAAACAAAAGACAACTAAAAAGCAAGAAATCTAGAATTGATAAGAAGAAAAGGGTCGAAAAAAAGGAGTCTTTATGTTAACAGAAAGGTTGATAGACATAAATCTGAAAGTAACATGAAACGGAACCCAATTTTCATTGGTTTGCAATCTTTATGTGTTTTCGTCTCGAAGACCATTTCGGATCTTATTTTGCGCTAGATTGGAGCTGAGACCTGTTCAGAAAAATTGAAATGATGGGCAGTTCCAAGTATTATCCTGGAGTAAATATAATTTAAAACCGAGTCTGTCGATTCTTACATTTGCAGGTTCGTTTCAGAATTTTCCCGATAAACAGAAGAAAAGAATGAGTACTTTGGATGTTGCGAGAGCTGAGCTTGCACTAGCTGTTTTGTATCTGAACAAAGCCGAGGCTCGGGACAAGATATGCAGGGCCATACAATACGGTTCGAAATTTGTGAGTAATGGAGAGCCCGGGACAGCACAGAATGTCGACAAATCAACTAGCTTGGCTAGAAAAGTCTTTCGTTTGTTTAAGGTCGAGCATTTTAAACTATATTCGGTGAAAAAGATGTTGCGTAGTGTTTCTGTTTGCAATTTTACAGTTTACTGAGTTTATGTTTCTCAATTTTACAGTTTGTTAATGATCTCCATGGGCTTATTAGTCCGACTGCTCCCGGAACTCCCCTTCCTCTAATTTTGCTTGGGAAGGTACTAAAAATCCTTATAAAATCGGTTTGTTTTTTAACTGATCGTTGTTCGGTTATTGTTCGACACTCGGTTAATTGTTATCTTTTTGCAGTCCAAGAATGCCCTTCTGTCCACTTTCTTGTTCCTGGATCAAATTGTGTGGCTGGGAAGAACAGGCATATACAAGGTACATGTAATTAAAAAAAAAAAATCCCCAGTCGAAAATCGTTTGAGAAAGTGTTTTAAGAGTGAACAAAGTAAAGATTTTTGTGATATGCAGAACAAAGAACGTACGGAGCTGATTGGAAGGATATCTCTTTTTTGTTGGCTGGGTTCTTCTGTTTGCACCACATTAGTTGAGGTACTCTGCAGTTTTTTTACTTTTTTTCCCTCCCTTTATCTTTCTCAAATATAAAAGGTTGACTTGCTTTCGTTCTTTGGGATTGTAACTTGTTTATTTCAGCTGGCTTATCAGCTAATTTTACCAAACACTTTTATTATATATTAGCTAGCTTTTCAGCTATAAGTCATAAGCTATAAGTTGTAAGCTCGAAAATCACTTGTAAAATATAAGTTAGCTTATCAGCTATCAACTAGCTTTACCAAACACAGCCTATGACTATTTAATATTGTTTCTTGTCATTGTTCGTTTTGATTAAAGATTAGCGAAATCGGGAGGCTGTATGGGTC